GCCCTGGCAACACGACCAAGTTGAGAAAACGATTCCATTATTGTTCACTGATTTCGTGGTGCAAAAAACTTGGCTCAGACTCTATTGAATTGTATATATTAAGTGTAATCACTCTATATCGTCTAAGGTGACGTTAACTTGGGTATACCTTGTGTTTCAATTAAATTTCACATGTTCTTGCTTTGCCAAAAGATATTATCATCCAGGCTGGAGTAGACTGCTGTTTCTACCTCTTTTTGGCCTTATCGATTCCCTTAGCCAGGCTCGAACCCTTCCGTTTTTATGCATTCTCTTTTTTGTGGAGATCTGAGCTAAAGGATTTCATGAGTTTGTCTCACTGAGTCAAGCGATACCCGGCCTTAGGCTAATTATCGGCAAAACAGGCTTCAATGCAACGCAGTAGATGTCATCGCCTTAGGCAGAATCCCTCTTGAGGGGATAACCTAAAAAGACATAGTCGAGAGAATAAGATATCGGTCTACAAATCTCTTATGATCAACTTTGCAAATACACTGAAAAGTAGCTACAACAGCCTATGAGCCCCTTCGATTTCGATTCGACTCCAACCGAGGGTACTGATGAGGCCTAGACTCTGCACAACTCCAGCCCTGTTATTCAATTCAAAGTGACTATTGTGCGACCTTCATTTTGTATGAAAGTGCATGATGAAGAGATTCACAGGTCAGTCTCGTCAGAAGACGACAGTTGATTTCAAGTGACCTGCAGCCGCTTGGCTTTAGCAAGATATTTAGGTTGGCGAAGTCCACGAAACATCCTCCATAGTTTCTGGTGAAGACGGGCTGAGCTTTCGTCCGTCATACGACTAACATCGTCGGGGCTGGGACTTATTCTTGCAAAAGCCTCAAGTTGACACTTACCGGCATTTTCATACATGATATATGTTCTCATTACGGGAAATGTTTTTAGATATGGATGTATATATAAGGGTTTGGCCAATTAACGTATACTGGAGTGTGTATGTGTGTATGTATGTCAACGTCTGTACGCAAAACCGGCCATAACTCAGAGTAATCAGAAAAAAGTTTAACATCAGCCCCTTGCCATCAAGGCTTAATTATCCAATGAAAAAAGGATGACCAAGATTGTGATAGTCCATAAGTAACCTTTGTTTAATTTACGCGATGTAAACTTGTACACTTGAAAGTCCCAGCTCTGAGGATGTTCGTCATATGACGAATGAAAACGTTGGAGGATGTCTCGGGGACTGCA